GGGAGCAGGGAGCAGGGAGCAGGGTGCAGGGAGCAGGGAGCAGGGAGCAGGGAGCAGGGAGCAGCTCTCCCCTGGCTCAGCAGCGCAGGCCCACCACCCCTTCTGGGTTGGACCTGAACACCAGTCAGAGTATCCTGACTGACAGCACTTTTCAAACTTCACCCTCACGGGCCCTACCTCTCTGACACGGCCAGTTGTTCTGGGAAAGCTGGCATTTACTGGCTTTCTCCTTTGTGCTTTCTGTAAAGCTGATGGCTGATTACTTAGCATTTATTTGGCAGAGAATCAAAGCTGCAGCTCCTGCTTTTAGAGAACAAGTCGCTTTGTTGATAGGTATGGGAGATGGGAAGTTGGGGTCCCCCTACCTCTTGCCTTACTAATTACTAAAAGCTAAGTCTCAAGAGGTGCTTCCCGAAGGAATAAAATACTAGCAGCGCATTTCTTTGTCTCAGCAGAAAATTACTGATCTAATTGAACATGTGCCCAGGCTCAGGCCCCGACCAGTATCCGGCATCCTGTGTCCTTTCTGTTTCTGGGAGCCGGGCTAGTGTAGGTCAGCACAGACCATGAGGGCTTTTCTTTGGGTTTCAACCTGTTGCTCAACAGATGTTTATGGAACTCAGCCCTGTGCCAGACAGAGCGGAATGTAAAAGAAGCATTACCTACGCTAGTGGTTCTTGTCGCCTGGGGCCTGGCACAGAGTTGGGAAGACAGGGCTAAATGATGAGAAAACAATCAGACACCAATTAAGGGTCAAACTGAGGCCTCGATTATTAGTGGGAGAGGTGAACAGAGGAGAAAGGTCACCATAGGAAGATCTGTCTAGAGAGACTTTGACAGAGAGGGGACACTTGAGTGGATATGAAGGGAGGGGAAGGTTTGGCTGGGAGGAAAGACGAGGGAGGACATGCATGCAACTTGCTCCTTGGTAACCAGTGCACGTTGGCTGAATGAATGGGCACAGATGGTGGGTGTGCAGCATGTCTTAATATTTGGAATAGTTGTCTTGCCAAATGTGGTTAGATTTTGGTGGCCCACAGCTGGTTTGTAGACACCTCTGAGCATGAGGCATGAATTATTTGTCCTGTAGCAGCTCAGGCTCCACCAGGTTTCTCCTGTAAGAATCATCCAGTTAGGTCCTGTGGCCCCTGTGGGATGCTGTGCAGTCATCAAAGGGCAGGCGAGGCGAGACCAGAGCATCCAGGTGGCTGTTTGATGTGGCAGGCCATCAGTGGGGAGTGGGCTGGAGCTGCAGCCTCTGTTCCAATAAGGTCTGTTAGCCACGGGTGACTTTTGATCCCTACAGATCTAGGGGAAGTCAAATTGACAATCCCCTAGTTAAAAGAAGGTGCTGTGCACACTCCAAGGGGTCTAGTCACTCTGTTCTCTTCTCACAGAAGTGCCTTGAGCTATTTGAGAGAAGGATCCTGTATGAATTATTCTTTAAAAACAGGAACATATTTCCTTCTACTGCCTCTGCCTCCCAAGCAACCCACTACTTTCAAAAGATAACTTAGCAGGAGCCTAACAGGCGGGGTAGGCTGAGTTCAGAGTCAGGAGAAGGAAAGCTGGGGCCGGCCAGCTGGAAGGAAGCATAAGAATTCAGACTGTGTTCAGTTCTGCTCACTTCGGCTTGATCTGTGGCTCAAAGTGGCTTCTCTGCCTTTTGATGTCTTATCTCTAAAATCAGAACAACAGTGTCCTCTCCTTCCTGCCACCTTCGTGGAGGCTATTTTAAAGTATTATGCAACATTCATTTTCATTTCTTTCGGGCTAGTTTCATGAGCAGGCAATCGCCCATGTCTGATGTGTTTGAAGAGTTGTTCATTACCCTTAACCCACCTATCCTTTCCACCCCCTGCAGAATTGCTGGAAATTCATCAGAGAGTCCTTGTCTTCTCCCTCCAGGCCTCTTCCAAACATATATAAGCTCTCTGACTTTTAAGTTATAAACGTTTGAGGGAATTTTTTTTTTAAATTTATCCTCATTGTTGAAAGTATTACAGATGTCCCCTTTTTGAGGGAAATATTTTTCAGAGGCCTTTCTTTGATACTTTGGTATCAGAAAGCTCCTGAGAATACAGGAGCAGGAAAGGGGGAGAAAGGGGGAGGAGGAAGGGACCCTGAGAGGGGGCAAGGGTGCAGAAAGAGAGAGAGGGGTCCTGGGACAGCCTTCTCCAAGAGCTGAATTTCACCAGAGATCAGCCTTGTCCCTGGGCTTCATTTCTTCTCGCATGGGTGGCAAGGTGAGCTCACCAGGACTGTGACAGCTCACTGGAGATCGACATAGAGCCCTGGGGTCAGACAGACCTGGGTGCACGTGGCGGTGCTACTCACTGGTAGTGTGACCTAGGGAAGATTACTTAACCTGTCCCACTCACTGGTAGTGTGACCTAGGGAAGATTACTTAACCTGTCCGCCTTCTCATTTGCAAAGTACAGGTAATAATAGTTATCTTCTAAACTGCCTCTGGTCCAGCTGAGAAATCAAGGCAGGGGAAACAGTTCATCAAGAATGCTTTCCAGCCCCCAACCTACTAACTTGATTCCACTGGGTCGTCTTTACATTCACCACTCACAACAGGGAAAGGGATTTCTTTAATGGCCAATGTAGACAGAAACTGGAAGCAGGAGGCGTTACACTGCTTCCTCTTGTTTCTCAAAAGTAAGAGACACTCACCCCTCATGAGAGATGTGGCTAGAGACAGAAATGACATTAGTGATCCCTCATGGACAAATCACAACTTGTCTGCTGATGGCTCCCTGTTTAGGTGGCTTGTGTCACAGGGAACAGTAGGATAAACAATATGTGCATGACCCCACGATGACCCTTCCTGACCAGACCCCAGCCCTGCTGTAGCCAACCTCCAGGTCCTCCCCCACTCCCCACGCTCTCCTCATGGTCCCTCTCACCGGAACGTCACATCAGAAGTGGGGGTTTTCTCTTAGGGGCTCATTTCTTCCTGAGACCAGTCAGAAGAGTGGTGATCTGATGATTATTTGTGCAATGCTTCAGACTATGCATTTAGATTATTTGTGCAATGCTTTAGTAGTAATAGCTAACACACACAGCACCGAATTAGGATATAATTAAAAACTGTGGCAACTGTTAAATTGAAGCCTGGTTCCCGATGACTTTGGGGTCCTTCTCTGGTGCTGCAGTGAGGGAACAAGCTTGGCTTTGATGTATTTGTGTCCCCTCCCCTCCTGTCCTGTCACTCTTGGGCTTTTTCAGTAGCTGGTTGGGGCCCTCCCCTATTGCTTCCTCACCTGTTTCTCCCTTAGTGCCTGCCCAGTCTTGATCTGGCCTAATTACATATCATTCTGTAAATACTTAAATGCTAAGTTACCTGTCATTCCCTGTTAGTCTCTGAAATTTGATTTGGACCTTAAGAGAAAAAACAAACCAAGACAAAATCTGGACTGATTTTTGAATACCTTGTTTGCCTCACAATATCTTGCAGGTCTATTCCACAATGCTGTCAAACACTTGGAAGAACGATTGCTGCTCAGTACCACAGCTTCACTAGTAAACCATTAAAAGAACACATTTTCCCTCCTCTGATGGACATGCTAATTTATTTTAATTTTTGTAAGTATATACCCTTCATGAATTTGCCTATATATTTTTTTTCCAAATGAGGAGCTCACTGCCCTTAAAGTTGCGGCAGAATGAAAAAGACTCATCAGTTATAAAATTGTGGCTCAAGTGAAATGGTCTGAAACCAATTGATTATTATTGGCTTTGGGGTCTAGCATGAGTCCTTGCAATCTGTTGGAGATAGAAAAACATGGCCTTGTGGGTAGACTTCCAATTCAGGAGCTCAGTCTTCAAATCAGCTGTTAATGTGCCTGTTGTATTCTCTTTTTCACTTCTCTTACCTATATCAAGAAAGAGAGAGGGAGGGAGAGAGAGAGAGAAAGAGAGATATGCTGATGGTGGTACTCTATTTTCCCATGTTTTTTCTAGTACATGGATTATGCTCTCACCTGCCTGTCCCCTTGTCCCCAGGTGTATGTTTATCCTGGACATTTCATGGCTTATGATTAGGTTGCACTTTATAGGATAAGAGAGAATCATTGATCAGCTGCCTTCTGCATGCCCCCCTACTGGGGATGGAGCCCGAAATCTGGGCATGTGCCCTGACCGGGAATCGAATGGTGATCTGTAGTCTCCTGGCTCATGGGTCAATGCTCAACCACTAAGCCTTGCCTGCCAGGCTTAGACTGCACTTTGAAAAATAACACTTGACAGTAGCAGGACACTCATTAACTGTTTCTAGGTCCTCTTACTTTTTTAGGGGAGCGGTCTCCTTTGCTTTTAGCTTGAGGTAAGGATAAGTATTGAATAAACTCTATTATGAGTTACCGCACCCTGGTGCTATTTTAAAATCTAGCTTTAGAACTTTATTGGCCAACTCTTCTGCAGGCCATTCCTAGTTTATAAAATAAAATATGCGCCCGGCCAGGCGTGGCTCAGCGGTTGAGCATCGACCTAGGATCCAGGAGATCGTGGTTCGATTCCCGGTCAGGGCACATGCTCTGGTTATGGGCTCAATCAATGACTCTCTCATCATTGATGTTTCACTCTCTCTCTCTCTCCCTCTCCCTTCCTCTCTGAAATCAATAAAGATATATTTAAAAAAATTTAATAAAAAAAATAAAATAAAATAAAATATGCTCTTTCCATTAAAAGCAACTACCACAGGAACAAAAACAGGATGTTTTCCTTTTATTTTTTATTATTTATTATTTAGTTTTAAATATATTTTTATTGATTTCAGAGAGAGGAAGGGGAAGGGAGAGAGACAGAAACATCAATGATGAGAGAGTCATTGATCGGCTGCCTCCTGCATGCCCCCTGCTGGGAATCGAGCCAACAACCCGGGTATGTGTCCTGATAGGGAATCCAACCTCGATTTCCTGGATCCTAGGTTGATGCTCAACAGCTGAGCCACGCTGGCCAGGCAGGATGTTTTCCTTTTAAGCCAACAGAAGAAAGTAGTTCTATTCAAATAGAAATCATGAAAGAGAAAAAAGGGGAAAAAAACAATAAATGGAAAATATGAAATAAGGTGGTTGAAATATATAAAAATATAAAATAAATACAAATGATTTCAGCTCATCAATCAAAAACCTAGACTCTCAGATTGGATTAAGAAAACAAATTCCAAAAATATATAATCTTTATCAATAAAGCTGGGGTAAGTATCTTAATAACTGACAAAATAGAATTTATGATAACAAAATACCATATTCCTAATAATATACTTTAAATACAGGTAAAAGGGAAATTTGAGCAAGAAAATATAACTATTATGAACACATATGTATACTTATAATGCCATGTCATTTATGAAATAAAAGAGATAAAATACTTTGCTAAGAATGTAGTGTAGTAGCTTGCAACTGAGAAACATGTTAACCACAAGGCTAATTACTTTTTTGGATTGTGATTGAAAACCTGGGATTTGATTCTGGGAGTTGATAATGATTTTTACATTCCAGTCAAAGCACCATTTCTTGTGGACTTAAAGAAACCAGAGTTAAAGATGCCTCACACGGTGAACTTCTATATCAAAGTGGAACCCGGGGTGATTCTGGGAATCTGGTGAGTGTGCTGATTGGACACTGGGCTGCCCGATGGACTTGGCTTTCATGTTACAAGGGCAACGGTGAACAGCCAGCGCTTTGCTGCCTGCCTGTGGGGGGCTGGTGTTCCTTGGAGGCACCCGGAGGCTGTTCCCGCCCCACTGGCCTCCTTGCACACCAAGCCACACTCTCTGTCTGCAACGATTCTTTCTATCTTTCTGCTCCCTGCGTTCCCACCTTCTGCCTAACTAACTGCCTATTCATCTTTTGCATCTCAGATTGGTAATTTCCAGGGAAACCTTTCCTCATCTCCATTTTAGGCATATGTTAGTGGCAACCTATGCTTATCTTTTGCATCAATTCCGCTGTCATTAAATAAATGTTTGTGGGATTATTGGGTTTGTGCTTGTCTTCTTTACAAGACTGTATCTTTAGTAGGTGACTCTGTCGGTGGGTTTTCATTGTTTAGCACAGTGCTTGGCACAGGAAAGGCACTTAGTAAGCGTTTGTCAGATGAAGTCCTGAGCATTCTGTTGTCTTTTTTACTATGCTAATCTCTGTATTTTCTTTTTTTTTTTTTTAATATATCTTTATTGATTTCAGAGAGAGGAAAGGAGAGGGAGAGAGAGAGATAGAAACATCAATGATGAGAGTCATGGATCGGCTGCCTCCTGCACGGCCCCGACCAGGGACCAAGCCCGAAATCCGGGCATGTGCCCTGACCGGGACCCGAACCGTGGTCTCCTGGATCCTAGGTCAATGCTCAACCGCTGAGCCATGTCGGGCCGGGCTATCTTCTGTTTGATTCTACTACTTGTCCTTGGCTGCCAGTTTCCCAGTGCTGTTTCACATTTCATCCCCCCGAGTTTACACATGTGATCTCAGAATGGCTAGGAACCAATATGGATTCACATAACTTCTTCCTAAACCGCAGGGTGCAGTTCAGCTGAGAATGCTGGAATTTGAAACCCTTTTTATTCTTTGCTCTTACCCCATCGGTCCTTGGCTTGGTGAGTCGACTGTCTAGTTGGCTTATCCGGCTGGCAGCGGTGCCTGTCTTCTCAGGACAGAGGCCCTGGGGTTTGATGTCAGACTTTCTGCTTCTAAAGACTGAGAGGACTGAAGACTTGACATTGTGTGGCCAGTTCTCCAAGTCACCTTATGACATGTCATATGGCAGTGTTTATATTTTCAGGATTTATTCATTGGTTTAACAAGGTGGCAGAACTGAAGCTCAGACAGGTATTTAAAATCACAAAGTCACTGTGTTTCTTGAGTAGAATAGCTTAGTTTCATGTTAAAGTTTTTTTCTCCTACACAAACTGATTTCCCTTTAAATTCTTCCCAACTTGTCTGTTCAGCCAAACCAATAGCACTCAGCAAATACCTGTTATCTTTTACTTGTTTTCACTCAGTGGACTGTGTTTTGATGGACTGCACCTAAGAACTGCAGTGCTGGAAAATTATTAGGTGTGGGAGTCCAGAGAACTAAAACAGTAAATGGTAAAAAGGCATTGTCTCTGCGCATGGGGGAGATGGGGTAGAGCAATGGTGGTTTTCATTATAGGATGCTTTATAGTAGTACATTTTAATGTTTACCATGTACATATATTACTTAGATAAACAATTATATATGTAAATTTGTGTAAAATACATTTATATAAACATCTATCAACTATGTATCATCTATCTATCTATCTATCTATCTATCATCAATCATCTATCTATCTATCATCTATCATCATCTATCATCATCTGTCTAGTCTACCTGTCCGTCCATCTGTCTATCTGACTGAGATAAGGAGTGTTTCAGACTTAGGCAAGGAGAATTCTCTCTGTCCATGATTGTTAAAAACTTTCCTTGCTCTTCAGGCACACAGTGCCCAGCTGCCGCGGGGAAGAGGCTAAGGGGAAGGACCGTTGCTGGTACGAAGCAGCCCTTCATGATGGCAACCCAATTATTGTTTATCTTCACGGCAGTGCAGAACACAGGTCAGTGCCTTTGCGTGGACATTTTTTCTTTTTTTAAAAAGAGAGACAGCATTTCAGCCCTGTGTGGGAGTGACAGGCAGGGCTCAGTTTTCAACTGTGTAAGCACGCCTCCACATACATTTCTTTTCTTTGTTGAAATTTGATGATGTTCTGGCAGTAGGTTTCTCTTAAAAAAAAAAATCCCTATGTTCTATATGTGGAATAGTGTGGATCCTTAACTGAGAGACACTAACTTCCAAAATTTAGATATTAGTTTCCCGGAAGGCAGTGCTTCTTTACTCCCTGAGAGTGTCTGATATGATGGATCGAACCCATGGATGACTGGAAAGGGAACAGGCATGAGATGGGGACAGGAGGAGCAATTTCCATATCAATGGTCTTTTTCACAAAAATACAGGAAGATTCTTTTATTTAGCATGAATCCTATTAATCAGTGGTTTGGACTTCCCCCGAGAGATCACCTGAAATTCTGACCATAGACCTCACCAATTCTAGCCTCTAATACTGATGCTGCAGCTCACTCTCTGTGGTCCCAACCTTGCTGTGTAACAAAGGCCGCCTCCCAGAAGCCTGGCTCTCTTTGATGTGCTGCCAGAGCCTTCAGTGGGCCTGTAATTACGGTGGGTGATGATTACCAGCTCTGATGGGTCTCCTCAGCTTGGGGGAGGGGCAATGTGCCTCACAGACCCACAGACCTGGCTCTGTCTTTGGAGGGACACTTCAAACTAAGTGACAAGCTCTGGAATCTGCCCCTTGGCTCCCTTGCCTGTCTCTTTTTCTCACTGTTTTTTTTTTCTGTTGGATGATGACTTTCTCAAGGCTTGCCTTTGCTCAAGGGGCTTTCTCGAGGTGTCCATTTTAGAGTCACATTTACAGAGATTGCCTGTGAATTTAACATTTTTCAGCATTGTTTAACATTGTTCTGATAGTGCGGGCTTGGGCCTGGTGTGACAATGCACCTATTGAAAGGATCATGCGGATCACACATTCAGATCTGTCCCGCTCTGTGAACCTACTGTTGCCCTCACTTATTGCAGATTTACTAGCTCTGGGCTCAGCCCCAGCTTTCCCCTGGCCCCTGCCCACAAGCCTCAACTTGCTATCAGTAGTGCTGAGCGGAAAGGAGGCCAAATGGAGGTTATGGGGAACCTTGGGTGGAAACAGTGGTTCTAGACCTGGGATCCATAAAAGCCCAAGAGGGGCTGTGAACTCCCTCCCAAAACTGTACATACAATTTGAAGTGTAAATATATATATTTTTCTGAGAAATGGGCCCATAGCTTTAACCACATATTCAAAGGGCTCCATGATCCACTAAAGTTTATGAAACTTGGCTCTAAGACAAACTTTAAAGAATTCTCTGCCTTTTGAATCACCTTTTTCTCTCTTTCATTAATGTAGTTAATAGAGTGCAGAGATAGCGTTATTTTTGGGGGAAAAAAATGTTTCTTGTACCTCCAGGGCCGTGAGTCTCCTCTTCTTGCACTTGGTGGCAGATCTTTAGTGTAATGAACATCACTATGCCATTCTTTGTTCTAAAAAGCCACTTCTGGAACTTATTTTCCTTCCGCTTCTAAAAGCATGCTTAGGAATGAGTTTCGCTGTGTAGAAGGTAAGGAGATGCAGTGGAACGCTTCTTCACAAGATGCGTGGCTCGGAGCAGAGGCCTGGGCGCAGCGAGCACGGAGGGAGCTGGGCCACGGCGCGGGGAGCCCCCCCCCCTTCCCTCCTCCTTAGTTGTCTCTGACCCCAGCAGGAAAGGCAGAGGTCAAATGCAAGCAGCGTGATGTTGGCGTTTATTGAATTTGTCATCCCAATTCCTAAATCGTGCTTTTTTTTTTTTTTTTAACCTTTCTACAGGGCAGCTTCTCACAGGCTTAATCTAGTAAAGGTATGTCTGAAGGGGCCCCAAGGCCCCATTTTATGTCCCCATTTATTCCCCCCGGGCTACATCTTCCTCAGCCTTCCCAGTGGTTATCTACGAGGCTCCCCAGAGCGGGGTGGCGTCTGGGGCCCGAAGTCCCAGGAGTGGGCTTTTCTTCCTGCCTTGACCACGGGGGATAAAAACAGATGCGAATATCGGCCAGTCCCAGAGACACTTCCATGCGTTTATCACCTCCATTAACACATGGAGTTGAAGACATGTTTATTGGCTTTTTCTGAGGGATGGGTTGAGAGAATATATTAAGTGTGAAAGACACTCCTACAAGAAACGACCTTTCTTTGTGATATAGGCTAAAGACACAGGATGTCCGTTTTTAAAAGCCATTCAGGCTCTGGCTTCAGCTCCGTAAAGGGTTTTGCAGAGCGGGCTGGTGGCAACGCTTGCCTGTCGTCCAGCCTGCTGCGTGACTTCAGTTTGCTGGGGCAGCCCCTGCATTTCCAGATGCAGGTGTGACGGGGGTGGCAGGCTTTCCACTCAACCGTCTCTGACTTCTGACGCAGAGCTGGTGGAGCAGGCTCCCTGTTTGTCCCCTCCCACACTCCAGTTGGGTAATTTTTGCTGCAGGTGACCAGGCGGTTTGTCCAGTTACTGACCACAGGACCTGATCTCTCCTCTCACGCGACAGCTCCCGCCTCCGCTCTTTCCTGATCTGACAGTATTAGTGGGGCCCAGGTCCCGCTGGGCCCACAATCCCCAGTCCCGTGACCCTCCTGCCCCCTGTTCAGGCAGGAAGCCCCTCTCTCGCGCTGCCTTCTCGGAGCTGACTGGTTCAGTAGAGGTGGGCTGGATAGTTTTGCCTGGGACGGTGATGCCTATTAATTTCTAGGTGTGCATTCCACCCTGCACCCCTCTCTTTGCACTTCCCACATGGGATGGTGGTGAAGCTGATGTCTCCTCCCACTCTTGGCAGAGCTGAAAGGAGAAGAGTTGGAGGTGTAGGTGTGAAGAGTGGCCAGTCATCCTCGGGTAGCTGGGGTGGGCGGGAAGGTATGGTAAGGCTTCTTCCCCCAGGCGGACTCTGGATGCCGCAGCCACAGTCATCGTCTCAGCATCTCCCAGCCTGAGCACGCTTCCTTAGCTCTTCATTTCCTCGTTTGGATAGGTGATTACTTTGAAATAATTGCCACAGAAAATTTTAAGCATTTGGTTTATTCTTCCTTGGGGATTTTTTTCCCCCCTAGAGATAAATTCTTGGAATCTGTTGCTATTGCTCTTGAGTTGTATTGGCAAGTGGTCCTTCAACTTATAGTGTCCGCAAACAACACACGAATATTCCCATTTCCCGGGATGCTTAACCACCCTGTTTCTTAGATAACTTTTTGGAGTGAATGTAGTTTAAATAGATACTAAAAAGTTACATGTATTTTCTCATTATCAGTTTGATTTGTATTTACAAGTTCCTAATGAGGCTCAGCCACCCGCATCTGTGCCGCGGGAGAGGAAGCACAGTATCTGGACATTTGCAGGCCCAGGTGCGAATCTTGGTTCTGCCTCTAGACATTTGGGTGACCGACCAGGAACAGATTACTTAAGCTCTCCACGGCTCAGTTGCCTTATTTGTTATAGGACTGTTGTGAGGATTTTGTTTTAAAAGCGTCTGTACCGTAACTTTCGTCCTTTCCTCTGCCTTCTCTTTGCCTGTCTCTGTGATTCATTTCGTTTAAAGTTATGCTTTCATAGTCTTTCCTCATCTACCTACATGGGGCTTGGCAGTGACTTGATATAATCCAGTGATCTCTTCATTTTCGATCGACATTAACTCTTTATCTGTTTGTAGTTACTATAATGACCTCCCATTTGCTTGATTGCCTCTAATACAACTCTGTGTAGAGTTCTCATTCTCAAGGGAATTCTTAAAAAAGACATTTACTATATACCAAGATATTTTAATATGTCATTTCATGTAATCTTCCAACAATCCTGAAGGCAACTACTATTGTTTTTCAGTTTTCAGAATGATATTTGCATATGTAAATGCTCAGTGGATGCCCAAAGGTCACACAGCTGGCAAGTGGCAGACCACCTCGCGTGACCCAGACTGTTCGGCCCTGCTCTGCCCGCTCTGCCCCGATGCTTTCCTTCCTTCCCATTGGGTCTGTCTCAGGATTGAAGTGAAACACCAGATTTCAAAGACACATCTTCCCCCTACTTATTAAACGGTCACCACTAGGGTTATGGAGTTGTCGAGGAGGTTGTACCACCTTTTCTGTCTACATCTTCTAATTCAAGTGACAAAGGCTCCTTTGTCATCCAGGTGCTGAGCGATGGTGGCTTTCACGTCTTGTCTGTTGACTACCGAGGTATGTGCTAAGGACAGTGCACAGAGACTTTTCCAGAAAGCAGGAGGCTTTGGATGACTCTCACTTTGGAGGCGGTGACACTGTTTGCCTTTCCTTGCTGCCAGGGTTTGGGGACTCTACGGGGAAGCCCACAGAGGAGGGACTCACTGCGGATGCTATCTGTGTCTATAAGTGGACCAAGGCAAGAAGTGGTCACACCCCTGTGTGCCTCTGGGGCCACTCTCTGGGGACAGGGTAAGTGGGGTCTGAAGAGGGGGCCTTAGGTGGGTCCTTGGGGCTTTAGGCAGCAGTGAGCACTGGAAGGATCAACGACCTAGGAGACAGGGACTCTTCTCTGGTTTCTCTCGCTTCCAGCCTGTGGCCAGACACCTTGCCTTCTCAGTGTGCCTGTTTGTAAAACAAGGGAGGGTCCAGCTCTCTGGTTATCTGGGACACTGCAGCCATTCCAGAACTCTCCTTGAGAGTTTTAAAGAAAAGGATTCTTAATTTAGGGTCAGTGGGCCCCCTTGAAACCCTGTGCAGAATTTTGTGTCTATGAGCATTTTCTAACCAGAGCCTCCAGAGCGTTCATCAGACGCTCCTACTGGGTGTTGCATTTTGTATCATTTACTTGACTGGTAGGTCACTTTCACATATGTACTAATTTTCATTGCTTTACAGAGTTGTGACAAATGCTGCAAGAGTACTAGAAGAGAAAGGTACAATAAAATGCTTCCGTGGTATAATTTCCTGGCTTGGGGTGGGAAACTAAAAGCAGTCAAGAGACCGTTGTGCACACTTTGAACACAGAGATACCCAAAGCAACCCAACTTTAGGCAGTTTCTGACCGCGTAGCAAGCTTTCTTTTCTTTCTCTATTTAATATAAAATAGCTGCTTTTCAAGATTATGAAATAAAAAATAAATACTAAGGAAAGACTTACAATTACCTTTGAAAGAGCCCTCATTGTGAAGTGATAATAAATGTTATTATGGAGTAATTTGGATTACAGGAGAGGAAAAGAATACATATGAAATAATAGGCAGGGCTTGCTTCCTGCGGCCTGTCTTACACAATATTTATGTCAGCGTTTCTCAAAATGTGCTGAGAATGGCCTGAATCAGAATCTCGTGGGGGTGCTTTTTTAAAACACAGGTTTCCTGGAGCTATTTTTATGAATTGGAATCTGTGAATAGGACAAGGTGACTTTGACTCACATTAAAAGCTTGTAATCTCTTGCATCGTATCTTGGCAATACAGGTCAGGCTGAGTTACATAAATATTTTAAAGCAAGTCACCTGCTATTCATAATCTTAATTACTTATGTAAATAAGCTAAACATTATTTCAGTGCTCCTCTAAGCTCTCAGCTCTCTGCCACTTCCTTCGCAGTGCTGACACTGCCATATTATCTGAACTAAATTCTCACATAAATGACTGCTTCACTTCCTCGATAATGCAGTGACCTTGGAACATTTTAATTCCTTTTACGTCCTTTACTTATGACCTCTTGCTATCATGTATTTTATTTTTCTTTATACGCACTCCGTAAAACATTATTATTCTTATAAAAGTCAATATTTAGGTTTAATCTTTTCTTTGCTCTTTATTAGTTTCAGCATTTCTCTGTTTTCATCTGGGATTTTTGTGCTGCCTGTCTCTTGGTGAAAAAGTCTCTCAGCTTTGGTCTGAAAATGTCTTTATTTCATCTTCGGTTTTGAAGGGTATTTTCACTGGGCATAGGATTCTAGGTTGGCAGTAATTTTATTTCGACACTTTGTTCTGGCTTTCCGTTTCCCTAGCAAGTCAGCGGCCAGTCTTACTGTTGCTCCTCTGAAGATAATGCTTACATTTTCCTCCGACTGTTCTTAAGATTTTCTTTTGGCCCGGCCGGGCGTGGCTCAGCGGTTGAGCATTGACCTAGGATCCAGGAGATCGGGGTTCGATTCCCGGTCAGGGCACATGCCTGGGTTGCGGGCTCGATCAATGACTCTCTCATCATTGATGTTTCTATCTCTCTCTCTCCCTCTCCTTTCCTCTCTCTGAAATCAATAAAGATATGTTTAAAAAAAAAAAGATTTTCTTTTGGTCTCCACTCTACAAAATCTCAGTGATCTAGCAGCCCTCAGGTGCCTTCAAACATACACACATACATACACACACACACATGCACACACACATACACACATATACACACATACACACACATACACATAACACACACACATATCCTCATCTGACACACATTTTCTAATTGTTCTCTGAGAAAGTGTTGGCCTAAACAACTGAATCAGCCTCTGGCACGTTCTTAACAATGGACTGCAGAATAGTTTTCCTTCCCATAGTACTTTGCTTTCTTAAATTATGCAAGCCTTGGAAATCTGGCTATGTTTTAGAGGAAGGTGGTGGTTTGCAGCTACCATGTGCATGGAAA